ATAGTCAACAGGGTCGCAAGAAGCGTGTGGAAAAACCAAGGCGCAAAATAACTGCCCATGAACTGAGAAAAGTCAAGCGTGCAGCTGCCACGATGCCACTTGCCACCAGTTTAGCCATATTTCAGAGCTGCAACATCACTGGAGTGCCCAAAAGCACAAGGTGTGCAATACTCAGAGACATGGCCAAGGTAAGAAAGGCTGAAAGACGACCACCACTGAACAAGACACACAAGCTGAAACGTCAAGACTGGGCCAAGAAATATCTCAAGACTGATTTTTCTAAGGTTTTATGGACTGATGAAATGAGAGTGAGTCTTGATGGGCCAGATGGATGGGCCCGTGGCTGGATTGGTAAAGGGCAGAGAGCTCCAGTCCGACTCAGACGCCAGCAAGGTGGAGGTGGAGTACTGGTTTGGGCTGGTATCATCAAAGATGAGCTTGTGGGGCCTTTTCGGGTTGAGGATGGAGTCAAGCTCAACTCCCAGTCCTACTGCCAGTTCCTGGAAGACACCTTCTTCAAGCAGTGGTACAGGAAGAAGTCTGCATCCTTCAAGAAAAACATGATTTTCATGCAGGACAATGCTCCATCACACGCGTCCAAGTACTCCACAGCGTGGCTGGCAAGAAAGGGTATAAAAGAAGAAAATCTAATGACATGGCCTCCTTGTTCACCTGATCTGAACCCCATTGAGAACCTGTGGTCCATCATCAAATGTGAGATTTACAAGGAGGGAAAACAGTACACCTCTCTGAACAGTGTCTGGGAGGCTGTGGTTGCTGCTGCACGCAACGTTGATGGTGAACAGATCAAAACACTGACAGAATCCATGGATGGCAGGCTTTTGAGTGTCCTTGCAAAGAAAGGTGGCTATATTGGTCACTGATTTGTTTTTGTTTTGTTTTTGAATGTCAGAAATGTATATTTGTGAATGTTGAGATGTTATATTGGTTTCACTGGTAATAATAAATAATTGAAATGGGTATATATTTGTTTTTGTTAAGTTGCCTAATAATTATGCACAGTAATAGTCACCTGCACACACAGATATCCCCCTAACATAGCTATAACTAAAAACAAACTAAAAACTACTTCCAAAATATTCAGCTTTGATATTAATGAGTTTTTTGGGTTCATTGAGAACATGGTTGTTGTTCAATAATAAAATTAATCCTCAAAAATACAACTTGCCTAATAATTCTGCACTCCCTGTATAGTTTTTATAGTGTTTTTGAAAGTTACAGGGTCAAATATAAGGCTTAATCAAGCATTTTTTCACATTGAAATTTGCAGATTGGTTATGTTGCCTTTGAGAATGTATGGTAGCCCAGGAATAAGAATTGCCCCCATGGTGGCATACCATTTGCAAAATAAGACAACCCAAGGTATTGCAAATGTAGTATGTTCAGTCTTTTTTAGTAGCCACTTAATCACAAACACTGGCCAAAGTTAGCATTCATAATAGTTTTTTGCATTTTTAACACACAAACAAATATGAATGCTAATTTTGGCAAGTGTTTGTGATTACTAAAAAAGAGTGGACATACCCCATATTAAATACCCTGGGTTGTCTACTTTAAAAAAAAATATGTACCTGTGAGGTGTGATTCAGAGATTTATGACAGATAAGTGTTACAATGTCACTATTGATAAATTTAAAAAATATATATATTTCGAAACAGCAATGTCCTACTTACTTACTTACCTACTTACTTACGTACTTATAGCCCTATAACTTGCAAAAAAAAGCTAAGAACATGTTAACATTGGGTATTTCTAAACTGAGGACAAATTTTAGAAACGATTTAGCATGGGTGTTTTTTGGCGGTTGTAGATGCGTAACAGATATTGGTGGTCAAAGTTTGAAAAAGTGTGTGTTTTTTTCATCATATTTAATAAAAAGTTTTATAGTAAATTATATGATATGATGAAAATAATGGTATCTTTAGAAAGACCATTTAAAGGCGAGAAAAACAGTATTTATTATGTGTGGGTACAGTAAATGAGTACGATTAAAATTACAGCTAAACACAAACACTGCAGAAATGTAAAAACAGCCCTGGTCCTTAACGGTAAGAAAATTGAATAAATGTCTGGTCTCTAAAGGGTCAAAGTATGAATATGAAAATTACAAAAAATACACACATCACATAAGCGGGAAAATAGAAGAAAAAAGAAATAGTGAAACGTCTTTCCTTTCAATATTTTTTTTTCTTTTGTTTTCCCACCTCACGCATTAGGAGGGGGGATTTTTGTAATTTGTTATATATATACTTTTATGGACACTTTCTGTCATGTAAGTATGCAATTTGTTAGATAAATCATCACTTCCAATGAACATCTGCATGAATTAATGGAGGCAGTTGAGTGTTGCCTGCTTTAAATTGAATGTCATTTCTAGGTATTTGTATTAACAAAAATGATAATTGGAAAAAAAATGAAAATTGTTAAACCATTTCTGCATTCTTATGAAGTATAGATTTGGCAATAGGACTTCCAATGTTTATGTAAAGCAGAGTTTAAAATAAAGTTCAGTTTAAGAGCTCATACCATCATTCCACTCATGCTTTTAATGTCAGACAATCTGTACAATCGCTCACTGTCAAAGCTCTTTAATTAATTCTCTCTTTAGGTCCACAGTACTTAAAAGTATCTTTGGGTGTCCATCATTCAAGTCTTATGAATTCTCTTGTTATGATATCAGCTTGTGAATGTTGATATGTGCTCCCTGCCAGATAATGAAAATTGAGTCAAACAAGCATAATGATTGTCAAAAAAATAACATATATATTCAAAGATTTATTAATCCTCTTCACTACCAAGCACTTTTTCTTGGAAAAATATGAACGTAACATTTATTTGAAAAATGTTACATTTTGCGCATAGCTAGCACGTAAGTGTATAATAAATAGCAATTTTATGCATTCACTGCTTTTCAGACAAGAGTGGTCAATCCACATTATTTAAATTTACACAATTGTTTCTTTTTAATGTATTTGTTCATCTTGTATGGAAACATGAAACTGAAGCTTGGGGGAATACAGTATATGGCATACAGTATCCCTTATCTTGCAGTATTTCACATTGGATCTGTAATGTTAATAGCACACTGCAATGAAAAAATAGTTTAACAATTTAGTAGATATACCCCCAATGAAACTATGCTTCCATTTATTTAGGCATCTTTTGGGTGTATATAAAAAAACTGCATGCAAAAACTGCAGATCTCTTGTCTGACGGCTTTGCAAGCCCTCTCCTTCGTCCTCAGACAGGACAAATAAAGTTAATTGATAAATGTGCCCATTTCTACTGAAATCTACTGTTTTTATAAAAAAAATAGGGCTCCTTTTCACACATAAAGCACTTCAGCAAGCTACACTGCTTTAGGCATGTAGAGCGTCCCTCTAAAATAAAAGAAAAAGCACAATTTGTGTCGCTAGATGTGCATTGTAGGTATTTGTAAGGACCCTGAAGGCATTACTATTGGTACAGCTTACCAAACATGGCAACCGTGTGTAAAAAGAATGTCTGTGCTTGAGCATAGTGCCCACATACATAAGTACAGTTAAATCACATGTTTCTCAAATAAAGATATTTCAAACACTGCAATAGTAATCTTTCTTAATCTTGGGAATGCTAACAAAATGGTACAGCTCATCTACTCTTCCTCTCTTCAAGGCAAAGAATGGTACGACCCAGTGAAAAATATTAGATAGATAGATAGATTTATAAATGGCTGGGAGGATGGACAACTTGAGCAACATAACTCACTTAATTTAAAATTACACTATAGGTTCCCAAACCACTTCATCTCATTGCACTGCCCCTGTCCCCCTTAGTTCTGCAATGTAAATCATTGTAGTTTTAGAGAAACTGCCATCATTACCATGCAGGAGTAAGACTGCCTCTAGTGGCTATCAGTCAAACAGCCACTAGAGACACTTTTGGAATCTTACCAGACCTTTGGACACCTAACTGACTCTGGATGTCCTCATGCTCCTCATGCTCCATCGTCAGTAAATTGCAGCAATGCGTTTAGTTCCCCCTGTTGGATGACATCAGTGGAGGTGCAGCACCGACCCAGCGCTGAGGGACACCGGTACTGGAATTGGGTACGTATTAAAATGTTTTTTTAACCCTTTCTGTGCCGAGGGAAGAAGAGGGGCGCATGGGTGGAGGTACTAGAGGGAACTATAATGTACAGCTTTGTATTCCTTACCCTATCGAATCCCTTTAATATCTGTCAGAGTGGAGTTGTTGTTTTGTTTGTTTAAAATGGAATTAAGTTTATTTAGTATTTCACAGAAAAGGAGAATGCTTTCATGATGGGCCACTGCAACTTTGCTGTTGTCTGAAACAAAGTAGACAGAGCTCAGGTGTATATAATATAATCTTGTTCTTACAAAAGTGGTCTATAGAAGGGTGTTATGTCCCCAAAGAATAATAAAATTGAAACAGGGCAGATATATATCAATGATTTAGTTGCACTACAATAAGAGTGTGACAATAAGGCAATGATTCATAAATAAACTCTTATGATTGCTTAAAATTGGGGGTACCTTTCTCCAAGTGTGAAGATTTTGTTGTATTATTTTCTCTCCAAAATATAAAAGATTTTATGAGAGTAAAATTACTACACTGGGTTTCTACTTTCCTGTATGAACTTTCATGAAATATATAAATCCTAGAACTTGCAATCTGGATCCAGGTCCAGTTTGCCTTCTAGTAAGGTATGTGTATTTAATTGAACCAGTTTCTGAGTGCCATCCCAGTGCTTTTAAAATGGCACATATACCTTCACTACTAAAAAAAATAAAGCAAAAAACAATTTTGGCCCTGCCCTACCTACCAGTTTTCAACCAATCTTCTCCTTTCTGCTTACTTCTCTAGTTTACTGGAATATGTGGTCTATCAGCTATCTACTAGATTTGAGCACAGTGAAAAAACTTGGTTCATCTTAATTGAAGAACTAGATAAGCGGATTAGCCCAATCTTAGAGGGCATGGGGGACCTAATGGCTAGGATCCAGGCTACTGAGAGCAAGACGGAGGAAGTAATGGAAACTGTACACACTCATGAGGCAGAACTGCAAAACCTCAGGGACCAGCTTCGCTACCTCGAAGAATTCAACGAGGATTTAAACAACAAAACATGCCGGAACAATATCCGGGTAAGGGGACTACCGGAAACGGTGTCCACCGAGCTGCTCCCTGAAACACTTACCACGATCTTCCAAAACCTCATACCAGACGCCATTGCAGCAGACCTGCTAATGGACCACGTACACCATGCCCTACGGGCACTGAGCACTAAATCATCCAACCCACAGGATGTCATAGTGAGAATGCACTACTACCACATTAAAGAAAGAATAATGTGCACCACGAGAGACACTCCTGTGGATGTGGAAGGGGTACATATACAACTCTATCAAGACCTGGCTCCTAACATCCTGAAGAGAAGAAAAGACTTACGTCCGCTCATACAACACCTTCATCAGCATGGGCTTCCGATATGCTTGGGGACACCCCTTTAAAATCATCATCCGCAAGGACAAAAAATTCTTCACAATAACACAACCGGCAAAAGTGCCTGATCTCCTGGACAGACTAGGTCTACCACAACTAACCATGCTGATACTGCACTGCACCGGACCATCACAACACCCGATGCCAAGTCAACGCCCACCAGTCAGGGACATTGATCAAGTAGCGCCTCGCTTCCAAGCTCAAACACCGAATCCCGCAAACTAATCACCACCGCACAACACCTAAGCAGGGATTACTACCTCCCAAAGCACCTGAGCATACCAAAGGTTGCAGCACTGAACACCTCCTAGAACCGCACCATGGACTGCGATCAATGCATTATAGCCAGCTGGCTAACAGGGTAACACGGGGCCCCCTCTGCACATGCACCTTCACACTTTCGCACCGTTAACACTCTACTCTAGGCTACCTCAGAAGGGCTAACTCAAGTCACTTAATGTAGTTGATTCATCCACTGTTAACACTGTTGGCTATGACACTAAATGCTAGGAAATAGGCTGAATAGAAGGCTACTTATAAAGCCTTAACACTTGTTGGAATTGACATATACAAGGTCAATTGAACAGTCAGGGCCAGGTAACTAGCAGTTATGACATGTAACACACAACACTTATTGTCAGGACCACTGTTACCAAGATCGGTAGTGCTAGAATAATTCACGCTGAGACATAACGCTATGACACTGTTTACCAAGGCACTTAGTGCAGTGACGCATACTGTTTACCGAGTCACTTAGTGCAGTGACGACTACTACTACCAAGACAGATATTGTACTATTTCATGCTCAGCCATATACTGCAATGTCAACTCTAAATGTAACGTCTAGCGCCAGGATATTTGTTGCCAAGATGTTTATTGTACTGCCATTTATCACCATGATGTGTACAGCCTAGATGTATCTTGCTACATTAATTATCACTCAAAACACAAGACGACCGAGCGTCAACTGCAACTAGGAACGACAACATTTTTATGAAATTTTTAGAAACCTCTCCCTTAATCAACATCTGAAGTCCCAACACCTCTCTACAAAGGATTACACCTTTTACTCCCACACGCACAAATCTTATTCCAGAAGTGACGGGTTTCTTGTCTCGCCCTCGATCCAGCCATGGTGCACCCAAATGCAGATAGGCAACATAGCCTGGTCGGACCACGCTGAGCTTTCCATGACACTAAAAATACCCAAAGTAACCCGCGCCTGGACTTGGCGCCTCAACCAAATGATCCTTCGGGACAAAGCAACAATCCAAACCCTAACAACCAGAATTTGGGACTACTTCGAAACCAACACTACTGGAGACACTTCTCCGGCAATGGTATGGGCCGCTCACAAGGCGACGATCAGAGGCAACCTCATATCGATAGCCTCCGCCATTAAAAAACAACGCCTACAGGACCTGACAGAAGCCCTAGCAGAACTGAAGAGACTCGAAGCGCTGCACAAACAACAGCCGTCGGATGCAATATTAGCCCAACAACGAGGGACAATCTAAAAGCACTATCGGTGACAGATGTAGCGAGAAACCTAATGTGGACCAAACAAAAGTTCTACAAAAAGGCAACAAGGCCGATTCCCTTCTGGCACACTGCCTCAAAAAACGACATGAGAAAAAGAAAATCTCCCAAATCCGCACACAGGATGGAGAGAACACAAACCAACCCGATAAAATTGCGCAAGAATTCCTACAATACTACACCACTCTATACGATCACCCCCCATTGCAACCAGCCCAAGAAACAGAACCCCTGGTGCGTATTGCCTCCTTTTTAGAACCACTCAAATTACCCTCCCTTCCCACTGAGGCCCAAGACCAACTGGCAACACCTATCGAAGCAGAGGAAATAGCCCTGGTGCTCAAAACGTTGAAACCCATGAAGACGGTATTACAGCCTTTTAATATAAAACCTTCCAGAACCGTCTTATCCCAAACCTATGCAAATTATTTAACTCACTTCTACAGAGACAACCCCTTCCACCAGATATCTGCCTTGTCCAATGCCGGATAAGGAACACCTAGAACCAGGCCACTACAGGCAGATCTCTCTCCTAAACACCGACCTGAAAATAATCACCATGGCACTAGCCAACCGTATCAACCCATATTTCCCTAAACTGATCCATCCGGATCAGGTCGGCTTCATCCTGACAGGCAGTAGACAACATGAAACAAACCTTTGACACGATCTGCTATGCTCAACATCGACACATTCCAACAGTAGTGCTCTCGCTGGATGCCGAGAAGGCTTTTAATAACTTCTGTGGCCCTACCTGTTCAAAGTACTCCATCACATTGGATTCCCTGCCGAGTTCTTAAATATACTAACCTCGCTATACGACCATCCCAAAGGGCGACTCCTACTCCCCAATATTGAAGCACTAGTGAACGACACCAGGCAAGGTTGGCCTCTCTCCACTTTACTCTTTGCTGTCTCCCTGGAACCCCTGCTGCAGGCCACAGCGGTGTCGTACACAGTAGCGTCGTTCGCAGACAATGTCCTGTTGACACTAGCAGACCCCATCCGCTCCCTGCATGTCACACTTACAGTTATTGCAGAATACACAACCTTCTCAGGCTACAAGATCAATTTGATGAAACCGACTCTCATCCCCTAGCGATGGAACCGAACCAATTTCGCACACTCAAAAACCAAATAATGACAGCCTCCATCACTTATCTAGGCATCTGACTGTCACCCTAACTCAAGGACCTCTATGACCTTAATTATAAACGGCTACTCACCACCTCCCTGACAGATCTACATAGATGGGAAGCAATGGGAGTCTCTTGGCTGGGCTGGGTCACCACAATAAAGATGAACCTACTCCCCAGGTTTCTATACCTCTTCCAGACTCTGCCAATTCCGATACTGAAATCAGACTTCAACAACTTACAAGCAGCTATTGACAAATTCATATGGAAATACAAAAAAAACAGGATTCGCTGAACGACAATATACGCCCCCAAACCACGTGATGGACTCAGGCTACCAATTTTCAACACTACTACCACGCGGCACAACTGGCTCACTTATAACAATGGCATGCACCACCTGGAGCCAAGAGATAGGTAAACCTTGAACACAACATCCTAGGCTGGGACCAACCATCCTCCTACATGTGGGTACCCCCAGTACACAGGTCGCTGCCACCACCCACATCACCGGCGGTTACCCATGCCCTAGCCCTATGGGACAAGCTGAACCCCAAATATGATCTATCCTTATTCCTATCTCCAGTAACGCCAGTCTACTGCAACAAACTCTTCCCACCAGGAATGACCCCAAAACACTTTATCAACTTCGATCAGAGGGACATCTCCAGGCTCCTACACTTGTACCAACAAGGGGAAGTATTCACATATAACAACCTCCAACAAGCGGAATCCCTATGCACCTCAGACAACTTCCACTACCTACAACTGAGAGACCTAGCACAGCAGCCTATGGTCAAACAAGCGGGTACGACACCCCTGACGACATTCTAAAAACAGTGTGTAGTGGAGAACTGGGATCCCATTGAGGCTCAGGAACAAGCAATTATAAATCCATAGGGTAAAGCATCCAGCAGGCAAAATAACACAGCAGCATCCCAACAGCAATCCCAATAACTGGATGACACACAGTATCAGGAGCAGAACTAAAGATTTATTCAGACAGTGGCCTAATAAAGCCTGCTTGCATGCAAGGGAGGGATTTCCATTAATTTGTACAGTATCCAATCCTGTTCTGGTAACCTCCCACACATCTCCGCCCCTCAGCCTGCATCATAATCCCCTTATCCAGGACACCAATTCCCCCCATTTCTGGATGTACCCCTAAACCTCAGGGTAACACTTTAAATTATACATCTCTGGTATCCCTGATCTGGGTGAACATCATATCCAAAAATCACCCAGATCAGACCCTCCCTCCCATCAATCATCTCCCACCCCTCCCATCAATCATCTCCCACCCCTCCCTCCCATCATCTCCCCCCATCAACCATCTCCCATCAATTATCTCCCCCCCCTCCCATCAATCATCTCCCTCCTATCAATTATCTCCCCCCTCCTATCAATTATCTCCCCCCCCCTCCTCCTATTAGCTTCTCCTCACCTCCCCTGCCCTGTAGCGTGGCCGAGCTCCTATCCGGTCCGCAACCCGGCGGAGTGACAGGAAGTGAACACTCAGTGTGCCTTATAGGAAGCGGCCGGCCCTGGGCCCACACCACAGCCAGGCATTCCTATTTTCGATAGGAAGCGCCGGCCCTGGGCCCACACCACAGCCAGGCATTCTTTTTCGATGGCGGCGTAGCTCACTTCTCTTGGCAATAATTTCCGACTATTCAGCGTTCAGCGTTCCCATTCTGTTTGTCCGGGCGGTACTGAATGTTAAAGTCAAAAGGCTGCAGCGCCAAACTCCAGCGCAGCAGCCTGGCATTGTCCCCAGCCACCCGGTTTAGCCAGACCAACGGGTTGTGATCCGTGAGCAAGGAGAAGGGCTGTCCATACAAATATGTCTGCAATTTCTTTAGGGCCCACACCACAGCCAGGCATTCTTTTTCGATGGCGGCGTAGCTCACTTCTCTTGGCAATAGTTTCCGACTGATGTAGGCTACGGGGTGTTCTCTGCCATCGGCCCCGACTTGTCTTAATACTGCTCCCAATCCAAACATAGAAGCGTCTGTGTGAACGTTTAGTTGGATCGGGAGCTGCCAAGACAGGGGCATTGACAAGTGCATCTTTCAACAGTTGGAACGCCTTCTCACACTCCGGGGTCCAGGTTACTTGGCGGGGTAAGTTTTTACGGGTAAGGTCAGCAAGGGGTTTGGCCAGGGCACTATAGTTGGGGACAAACTTGCGATAGTATCCGGCAGTCCCTAGAAAAGCAAGGACCTGGGTTTTTGTCCTGGGAGTGGGCCATTGGGCTACTGCCTCTACCTTAGCAGGTTCAAGTTTCTGCTTCCCAAACCCCACTCTGTGTCCGAGGTACTGTACCTCTGCCATCCCTATACTGCATTTAGCTGGCTTCAGGGGAAATCCGGCATCTCGGATCCTATCTAACACCGCCCCTATATGGGCCAAATGTTCCTCCCAAGTGTTGCTAAAGATGGCTATGTCATCTAAATAAGCACAAGTGTAATCCTGAAATCCATCCAGGAGTCGGTCTACCATCCTCTGGAAGGTAGCGGGTGCATTTTTCATCCCAAACGGCATTACCTTAAATTGGTATAAACCGAATGGGGTGACAAAAGCGGATTTAGGAATGGCCTCGGGCGCCAGGGGAATCTGCTAATACCCCTTACATAGATCGATGGTCGTGAGGTAGTGACCTCTAGCCATCCTGTCCAGTAATTCCTCTATCCGGGGCATAGGGTATGCATCGGATACCGTCTTTTCGTTAAACCTCCTGTAATCCACGCAGACGCGAGTTGTGCCATCTCGCTTGGGTATGAGTACTACAGGGGAGGCCCAGGGGCTATCTGACGGTTCAATCACCCCTAGGTGGAGCATCTCCTCAATCTCTTTGCACATGTTTTCCTTCACCACTTCAGGGATGAGATAAGGGGTTTGGCGCATGGGAAGCTGTCCAGGGGTCTCTACCCGGTGAGTGGCCAAAGGTACCCAGGTATATTGGAGAATGTGTCCTGTTTCTCCCGTAATAACTGTTGTACCTCGGTCCGCTCCTGTGGGCTCAGCCGATCCTCCAGAGTAACTTCCCCCAAATCCCCGGACAGTCTGCGGTCCCCCAGGAGATCTGGGAGAGGCAGGCTGTCGAACTCTTCATTGGAGGGGGCGCAAATTGCAGTTACCTCCTCTGAACGTTCCTGGTAGGGCTTCAGCATGTTCACGTGGATCATGCGTCGCCCCCCAGTCCCTGTACAGGCGCCAATTATATACGTGGTGTCGCATCTCTTGTCCATCACTTTATATGGGCTCTGCCAGGAGGCCTGCAGCTTGTCATGTTGGACTGGTTCCAAAACTAGAACTTTCTGCCCAACCTGGAAGCTGCGGTCCCTGTTGCCCCTATCATACCATGTGCGTTGGCGCGTTTGAGCCGCCTGGAGGTTTTCTCGGACTGACTTGGTCAACACTTCCAAACGCTCTCGAAACGCCATTACATATGGTATGACAGGGGTACCGTCGGTACTCCGGTCTCCCTCCCAGTGTTCCCGGATCAGATCTAGGGGCCCCCTTTCTCTCCGCCCAAATAGTAACTCAAATGGGGAGAATCCTGTCGATTCCTGCGGCACCTCACTGTAGGCAAACAGGAGATGCGGCAAAAACCGTTCCCAGTCCCTATGGGTGTTGGCAAAAGTGCGCATCATTTGCTTCAAGGTCCCATTGAACCTTTCGCATAGCCCATTGGTCTGGGGGTGGTATGGGGCGCTAATAATCGATTTGATGTCACAAAATTTCCAGAGGCTCTGGGTGACTTCCGCAGTGAACTGGGTACCCTGATCCGAGATTATCTCTCTGGGTAACCCCATCCGAGTGAAAATCCACATCAGGGCCTCAGCCACGGTTTCTGCATGTATGTTAGGCCAATCGCCTCTGGATATTGGGTGGCATAATCCACTACAGTTAAGATATACCTTTTCCCAGAGGGGCTGGGTTTTTTCAGGGGTCCTATTATATCTACTGCTACTCTGCTGAACGGTTCCTCTATTATGGGTAGCGGGTGCAATTTTGCCTTCCGCCGGTCCCCTCTCTTCCCTACCCTTTGGCACGTGTCACACGTGTTGCAGTACCTGCGGACTTCCTGACTAACTCCTGGCCAAAAGAAACTCTGGGTCAGTCGGTGCCGGGTGCGACTGACCCCTAAATGTCCGGATAGCGGAATATCGTGCGCTATCCGGAGTAACTCTGCACGACACCGTTGGGGTACCACTAGCTGCCTCATCACAATAGGGTTTGACCCAGCTACCTGCTTGTCAAACTCCCTGTATAGCAACTGGTTATCCCATACAAATCTTTCGCCCTCCCCTCCCGGCTGGTCTGAGGTGACTTTGTCTCTATAGACCTGTAAGGTGGGGTCGGTGACTACTTCGGCCGCAAATTCAGTAGGGGGAGCCCAAGGGGTTCATTCTAAGGTAGGGGAAGGATCTGTTACCTGGACCTCCGGGAGTGTGTTGTAGTCCTGGGTGCGGGCCTGTTGTCGTGTAACCACTGGGTGTGCCTCTCCGGTCGTTGGGGCCTGGGGTTCAAATGCAGACGTCAGTTTGCCCAGATCGTTTCCCAACAAAACCTCCGCTGGCAGCTGGGGCATCAAACCCACCTCCACATTCCCAAACCCCGCTCCCCAATGTAAATGTACCCGGACTGTGGGTAGCCGGTATACTGCTCCCCCGGCTACCCTGACTGCTACTGCTCTGCTGGTCTTGGCCTGGTCAGGTACCAGGTGACTTTTAACCAGTGTGATGGTGGCTCCTGAATCGCAGAGCCCCTGAACTGCTTTCCCCTCCAAGTACACAATCTGTCTATGATGCTGGCGGTTGTCAGCATTAGCTTGCACAGGATCCGCTTCATGCAATACTTCCCATTGTTCCACTGTGTTTATGGGAATTGCGGTGCCATAGGGACTTGTTGTCTCTGCTTGGTAGTAGTGGGCTGCCTGTCGAGGTGGTGGGGGTAGTCCGGGTCTGATCCAGGTGGAGCGATCTTTTAGCTGTGGGCATTCCCTCTTATAATGTCCCCAGCGTTGGCAATGGTGGCACTGTACAGAGCTAGTTGGTCGAGGTTTCTGTTGTACACTAGCGGGTGGATAAGGAGGTAGTTGTCGTGGTGGCGGTGTGGTGTTGGGGTATGGGCTGTTCCCCCCTACGGGTCGGATAACTGTCTTGATGGGGGCTGGTTTTTGTTGTCTGTGGGCATCCAGGTACTCATCCGACTTTTTAGCTGCTTCTATGAGGGACTTCGGATTGCGGTCTCTCACCCATTCCTGTATACCATTCTGGATGCCCTCATAGAATTGCTCCAATAGCAACATTTGTAACAAGTCCACCATGGACCAAGCTTTATTGGACTGTACCCATCCCAGGGCGGCCCGATGTAGATGCAGGCCCATTCCACATGAGAGTCCTTGTCATTTCTTTTTAACTCTCTAAATCGCCGCCGATATGCCTCTGGCGTGATTGCATACCGGACCAGGATCACCTCTTTTACCCTGTGGTAATTCCGAATTTCCTCATCTGGTACAGTTCTATATGCTTCAGAAGCCTGGACCTCCAGTGAGCTTCCCTGCTAAAATAGGTACCCACTCCTCCGGACTAATATTATGCAGTGCACACAGTCTCTCAAAATCTTGGAGAAAAGCATCTATGACCTCCTCTGCTTCTACATATGGTTTAAATGCTTGGTAAGGTATTTTTGCCTTACCCTGTGTGATGATAGCGGTGATAGCATTCCTCTCCAGATTTTGTAGTGGCCTTTGGCGTAGTATAAACTCCTGCACCTCTGTCATTGTCCTGGATATAATATCCGCCGTTGGATTCTCTCCATAAAAGGACAGCCTAAACTGCAGCTGTCTCTGGAACTCCTCTTGCTCAGATCCATCTGCTGAACTCCGCTGCTCAGGGATCGCCCTGTCCTCATTCTGGTATTCTGCCATCACCTGTGCAATGAGGGTTGCTTTCCTTTTGTTGTTTGCTGCAATACCTTTTGCTTCTAGGAGATCTTTTAGCGTGGATCTTTTAAGCTTCGCATAATCACTCTCCATCCGTATTCCATTAGTCCTTGTTCCCTTGTGAGTCTGGATCGCAGCGCTGCCAACCAATGTAGCGGAGAGCTGGTATTACACAGCCTATCTCCACTTTGGATCCCAGTGAGGCTCAGGAACAAGCAATTATAAATCCATAGGGTAAAGTATCCAGCAGACAAAATAACACAGCAGCATTCCAACAGCAATCCCAATAACTGGACGACACACAGTATCAGGAGCAGAACTAAAGATTTATTCAGACAGTGGCCTTATAAAGCCTGCTCCCATGCAAGGGAGGGATTTCCATTAATTTGTACAGTATCCAATCCTGTTCTGGTAACCTCCCACACATCTACTCCCCTCAGCCTGCATCATAATCCCCTTATCCAGGACACCAATTCCCCCCGTTTCTGGATGTACCCCTAAACCTAGGTGTACCACTTTAAATTATACATCCCCTGGTAGCCCTGATCTGGGTGAACAACATATCCAAAAATCACCCAGATCAGACCAGGGGTACGGGAAATTTATGGAGGGAATAAAATGACCGACCACGCTGGAAAGAACAGCCGAATGGGGTTCCATGCGATGGGGCCCTGCGGTCGGTTCTGGAGTAAGGGAACAAACTACACAAAAGCCTCCAGTTACAGAGACTAGGGAGGGTTCGCCTGAATCCCCTCGTTCGGTTGTTTCTATCTACCGAACGAGGGGCCTTTCGGTAGTTTGGAACCGAACGGACCGGGCTTGTGGAGGTCTCATCGGTGTTCGCCTAGTCGAGTGTCCGATTTGAGTTCCAGACACTCAACGGCAAGACACCGCTGTTCGGGAGTTTTAAAATGGCCGCCGCCACGTGTTCGTTTCCCGCATGGCGGCCACCCCCGAGAACAAAGGACTGCTACTCAGCTTGTCAATTACCCATTCGCAACAATGTTGCAATGGGTAATTGAAGGCACACTTCACACAGGGGAGGTCTGACTGTTTCATTCGAACAAACTAAGGGAATGAAACTAACGAACAATCAGACGAATACAATACATTTAACACATATAACTTTGCCATTTACACGAATGCAGTCAAAACATATGCAATTCTCAGGACAGCCCAGTGCCATCCACTACACAGTGCTTGGATGCAACATTGCAATCTTAAAAGGTCTCGTATATGTAACAGCATGGGAATGCAACCTCGGGCCACAGGAGGATCCGGGTGACTGGGCCGAAATATGGGAAGCAATAGGATCTATAACAGTATGTGTCACACACAAGGAGCAAGCCTACAAGACTCCCTACCAATGGTACATGACACCGTATCGACTCCACAAGATGGGGAGACTACCCAACGACCACTGTTGGAAATAATGCAGAAAAACAGGCTCCTACCTCCACTGCAGGTAGCACTGCCCCAAACTTAAACCCTTTTGGATGGAAGTACATCATCTCATAGTACAGGTCATTGAGTAGCCCATCACAGCAAACCCCTGGACCATGTTAATCACAAAACCCACAGACTTCTTAACTAGGAGTAAAAACAAGCTAACAGCCAGGATAAAACTAGTGGCAAGACAGGCGATGGCTGAACTGTGGGGAGATCAACGAACCCCCACAATAACAACTTTTATACGAAAAATAAAAGAAACACGAGACCTCAACTAGCTTCCTGCACAAATACATGACACGTACAAAACTTTCCACAAGACCTGGGACCTATGGGACACTAATTAACCAGGAGTAGACCTACGCACAACAAATCACCTACAACCTTCCATATCCAAACCCCCTTGAACAGATATTTAAAGAGACAGACAGCCCTGAACATCCGAGGCACAAAGTAGCCAAAGCGACAAGAACCAATCTCACAAACCAGGACAACAAGCAGCCTACGTAAGACATGACAAGAAAACGACATGACAGGAACACAAACAAAAGCCTGAGATGGCACAAACCAACCTTCCTCTTCCTCGCATCCCCTCTTCCCCCCACTTTTTTTCTCTCTATCACCCTCCCTCTTCTCTCTCTCTCTTTCTCTTGCACTCCTCTTACGCCCACTCTTCCCCTTCCTCCTCTTCCTCTCTTCCCTCCCCTAGGTCCTGGCTGGCCGTGGTGCGTGGATGTGTGAGGGCAGAGCACTGAACCCACACCGTATCTATCCACCTGGACCCCTAACATGGAAAGCGCACGGTACAAAATCTCGACAAGAAGAAAGGTTGATACAATACAAACCCCGAGCAAACCACATCAATACCCACTCAATTAAAAACTCTGCCAACCCAGCAGGGGGATCATGCCATGAGAAAACCCCAAACACAATGCCCATCCTAAGCTGGATGTCAAACCAAAAACACTCCCCCCCCATGAACACGGGAAACAGGGGACCCGATTGCACCACCACTACCTCATCTCCCCCACTCCATAGGGCCAACATATACAACAAAAAAAATCAATGCAATGCCATTGGACTCTCAGACCAATACAGCATTCCGGAGGCCCTAGACCTGATGAGCAGTAGAGACCACTGGCAGCCCCATGTGCTACTCAACCAGTTACCCTGGGGAATGGCACGCCACCCAAAGGGGAAGCCCGGGGATGGACACCATCAGAGGCTAACGAACTAGGTACCCAAATGCCACCAGGGGGCGGGAACACACCTCCCCCAGGATACAACAGATCCTCCACGGGCTTGCAGTGGTCACGCAACACACCACACAAAATAAGCAATGTTGTAAGATGTATGGGTCTTTCCCCTCTGTAAATTGATAATATCACAAATGTATAGCCCTTTTCCTTCTGTATAACAAAATTATCACTAATGTACGGTACTTTCCTTTCTGCACAACAAAATTATCACAAATATATGGCTTTTTTTCATTTGTACAACCAAAATTATCACAAATGTATGGCTCTTTCCTTTCTGTTAAAACCTAAAACTACCACAAATAGAGAATAAAAAAAAAGAAATTTAGTGCGGGTGACCCGAAATTCATTCATATGGCTTTTTGGTTCAGAAAACTTTTGTCCATGCAATCATTTTGGGGAGAATGATTCAGAGAAACCAATAGGGCAAGAAAATTAGATAACCAGTGTACTGCAAAATATAAATATGAACATTGAAAGAAAAAGAGGAGGAGCAATACAAAGATCTATATTTATATATTATATATATGTTAAATCTGTTTGTTTTTTTACAAAATATAGGAACGGTTCCCTAATTTACTAATCATCACTCATTTGTTTTCCATTAACCATCTTTTTTTGGCATCACAGATGGAATTCAAATCACGAAACAAAACATTTTATCTATTTTACGTTTTCTGTGATTCATGATTCTTCCATAAGCCATTTCGGAATTTCAAGCAAGTTGGCAATCGTCCCCAAAATTCAGGAGAATTGTGATTCAGGAGAAACCGAATGCTTAAGTTTCTTTAAACAATTCAACCCTTCCACCAATCAACATTCCAGTTGAGGTATCACTGGTTTCAGTCCTTGGGCCTCTTCTTTCCTTCCTTTATACTGATCATTTGTCTGATCTCTCTCTTCACATGGCTTTATTGATAATTCTATGCAGACAACATTCAGATGATAGTCTCTTTAAACCTCCTTTACACCCAATTTCTGCTATAGCATCTCTTTATGCCTCTCAGATGCTGCCCACTATAGTCCCTCCTATTTTAAGCAACTAAATTTAGACAAACCTCATGTACTCTTTTATCACAACACCCTAGTCTCTCATTTCAGCTACTCATACTTCACAACTACTCTTTGACATGTATGTGTATGTGTAAATATGTGTGTCAATCAAAGAGTAGTTTGAAATTTCTTACCCACTTTTTATCTTCACCATGATCACACCTACTCTCTTCCAGTTAACCGTCCACAACTCCTCAACATGCTCCATTTGGCAGGTTCCTAACCTCTGCTGGAAAAATTCCACTAGCTTCCAATATACCAACAGTCTAACTTCACATCTTGTCTTCATGTAAAAATCCATCTATAACCCTGCCCCACCCTACATCTTCTCAACTCATTAGTTCATATTGCAATTCACTTGTTATTTTACTGCAATTCATTATTTAGTAAATAAACACCTTGGCCTTCTGCACCACTTTTCAGGGCGGAGGTAGGTATGGTGTTAGAAGTGGAACTTTTTGTTTAATTGATTTATATGCACTGTGTCAACCAGTAGGATCAGGTAATGTTAAAACAGAAACATTTATGGAAACTAAAATAAAAAAATGAAAACATTTATTTTAAGATTGAGAGCTGTAAAGTGATATTCATAGGAATTTTTTTCTTTTTGGTGAGTATTACATTTTGCCCTCTGCCGAAATGGCCAGTAACATCTTATGTCACCAGTCCTGCTAAGTATCAATTAGACCGTTAGAAACCAAAATGACATTTCATTAAAAATGGAAACAGCTCTTATAACATCTGGAAAAATCCATGTAATCTGTAAATCTTAATATTTTAACATTACCGTGGCATAATTTCAGACTGTGTATTTTATTACTTTTTCTTCTGACATTTTTGTATGGTTTTTCTTATGTATACGTGATATATTCTAATTTGTTTTCTGTTAAAATTTGATTTATCACTTGCTTAGAAAACAACTTGTTGATTGACTGGTTAAATGCACCACTCTAAATCTAGTTGGGTCAATATTCATGTATTGATTGAGTCAGTGTTTATGTGTGTGATGTCATTAGTTGCACACAGGTACAATATTATTTTAATTTTGAGATGCCAAGTCAGTAAACATGCATTAAGAGGAAATAATACATCTGATATCTGCACAATCAAGGCAAGGCATGGTATATGAAGTAAATCACCTGATATCACATGATACTCTGCTTGTAATGCTTGCATATGTATGTACAACCACAACATGATAACTATCAGGATAACTGTCCACTGTCTACAACATTGTAGAAAAAGATGCAAAATGTATATGTCCACATTCCTATGTCCACTTATGGGTACTAATACTGGCATGTGCA